CTGGGAGGGAGCAGGGTAACTGCAGGCTGCTTCATTCATACTTTGTTCTTCATCCTGTTGGAAATAACGTTTCTCTCAACGGATAGTCGAAGGGGGAAAGACCTTGTTGACCCTGCTTTGAGCGAGGAGTCCGACCTCGGTGTTTCTGTCAGTCTGTTTTCCCGTCCTCCCGCTATGGACTCGGGATGTTTTCGTTGCCTGGTCGTTGCAGAGGCAGAGGCTGCTGTTGTTAAGAGCTGAGAAGCAGCGGGTCGAGGGCTTCTCCCCGATCCCCCTTTTTGTCCGTGCCTGGCGCAGCGTGGCCCCTTTGCAAGTGGGTGCTTGGGGCTCTTTATTTCGGGGATGTTGACAGAAGGGGACAGTCTTGCAAGGGTCACAGCAGGGTTTGTGCCGTGCCTGCGGTTTCAGCAGTTGCTTGAGTCTGAAATGGGAGTTGAAGGAGCTGCTCGGCATTAGCAGCGTGTCCTTGTGCGCGGTGCAGCTATGACAGTGGGCCGAGTCTGTGCCAAAAGAGGCTCCTCTGGAGTGAAGGATGAGTCCCAGGATGCTGCTGGGAGAGGATGGTGTTTCAGTATGGTCTTAATCACGGTTTTCTCTTCAGTTTTGCTTAATGTTACTCCACAAGCCAAATGAATCTGTGGTGTGTCTTTGCTGCCTTAAATTGGACCCAAAATACAGAACCACTCACTCATTCGCACTGGCTGTGCTTTGCCCCTTTGAGTCCAGCGTGGGTCAATTAACCGAACCCAAACTGGGATTCTGGATCCTGGTTTCGAAACACACAGGTTTTTCTGTACTGCATTTTCTGTGACTAAACTTTTTATTGCCTCTGCCTCTCCAGGTTGGCAGCTCTTTGCCACGGCAACGTGCAAACAGCACATTCTGTATCCCAGAAAATGCTTTGCTTCCTAAGCCTGAAATCTGCATCCCTGTGTTTGGACACAGATTTCGAAAGCATCGGTCTCATCTGGGAGCTGCTGTTGTTCGAGTGACTTTTGAAACACTTTGGGCTTTGGCAGGAGGAAGGGGAGTCGGGAAGCCTGTGTGCACCTCGGCTTGTAGCAACGTGCAAACAGCACATTCTGTATCCCAGAAAATGCTTTGCTTCCTAAGCCTGAAATCTGCATCCCTGTGTTTGGACACAGATTTCGAAAGCATCGGTCTCATCTGGGAGCTGCTGTTGTTCGAGTGACTTTTGAAACACTTTGGGCTTTGGCAGGAGGAAGGGGAGTCGGGAAGCCTGTGTGCACCTCGGCTTGTCGAGACGGGGCTTTTCTCACTTTTCTTTCTTCGTTTTCCATCCATGAGCCGTAACCAGCCTGTTCCAGGTACCAGCTCCCAGAGCAAAGGGGGTGTCAGGCTGTTTGAAGAGACACGCTGC